ATTCGAAAACGGTAAAACTCAACTGTTTAACTCTAGGGGAGTTGGAAAATGAGCCTATTTTCAAAAACAGTGGAGTGTTCCTTGAAGGAGTTTATGGCTAGTTTGGGATTTGGAGTAATTGCCGTGCTTCTCGTAAATTCATGTAGATTATATTTCACTACCATCAGGTTGGTAAAGATTCTCACCAGCCAAACATCCTATAACTATGATATCATTTATGACTGGATTATAAAAGGATTTTTCATTATATTACCCCAGAAATTACTTTTCTTTTCTGTAGCTATCTGCAGTTGCAGAAATGCTGTCACAATGTGAGCAAGTGTGCAGTGTGAAACAGACTTTACATGTAATTTATCCTTTTCACTTTATGCACTTTTTCTTTTATAATTTATGACAAACTCTTCTCCTTCATGACTGAACTTGTTCCACTTCCCTTTCATCCACCAGATGATCCATGTGGGCAGCCACCGTCATTCCCACACTCACATCTGCAGGGGAAAACTGGTCTGGACCTCGGGGATGAACTTCTGTATAGCTGTGACCCAGGATACAAACTTCCCAATGGAGATATGGGCTTCAGCCTGCTTTGCGACAGTTGTGGAGAATGGTATGGCCTGGTGCAGCATTGCGTGAAAGGTGAGCTGCGAACACAATGATTCGATTTAAAAATAAAAGGAGCCATGCTGAATATGAGACAGAGGCTCCAAGATGCATAATTCTTGAGGTTCAAAGGGTTTATTTGGCTTTTGGGTGTAGCTGCGTAGTCTTCAATATGTTTTATTTGTTGCAGATGATTCTGAAGGCCACATCGACTATGAAGATAAGTTCACAGATGGCCATCTCCTTGAGAATCCGAGGGAGGAGCATCATATTTCTTTGAATCCAGGAGGAACGCAGTCCACTGTTCATGAAGTAGAAGAATCCTCTCCTGAGCCTGAGCCAGAGCCTGAGCGGACAGTCATGTCTGAGGAGGAGAAGGAGAATGATGGAGATTCAACTATATCAGTCTCTGAACCTCCAGTGTCTCAACTCAGTCAGAAGCACATGTTCTGGTTCCCTTCAGAGGCCTTCCAGGAAGAGAAGGAGCAGCCGGGTATCTCCACTGATTTCTCCTCTGTTAAAAACCCCACTGAAGATGAGAGTCACATGACGGTCAAAACAACCAACAGCCAGTCTGGTCCTGACATTATCGCAGAGGAAAGTGACTATACGACAGATCCTCCCACCGATGAACCTACCAGTCCCAGTGCCGGCGGCTCAGACGAGTCCTGGCTAGATGGATACCCTGTTACTCAGGATGAAGATAAAGCTGGAGGTGAGTCCACAGGGGAGGCAGGGCCAGAACAAGGTGCAGAGTCAGAAACAGAGACCTTGCCTGGCCACTCGGAAGTTGAGGTGTTTGAGGATGTAACCAAAAACCCAGTGGAAGAAGAGACCGGGGGTTTGATTGACAACCCTGAGGAGGACGAAGATGGAGAAATAAAAACTCCTGAGGACACAATCCACATGAAAGGAGACGAGGAGGAGCTCGGTAAAGGGACAATCAGACTTGAAAAGGAAGAGTCTGTTGTAACACCTTATGAGGAAACAATTGAAGGACTTTCAGAAGATGAAATGGTGAAAGAAACGTACACACCAGAGAAAACAGACTCTGATGGATCCAAAACATTGGGGTTTGATGGTGTTACTGACAGTCCAAATGGCGTGGAGGTGAAGCCCACCACCTTCATTACTCAGATTACACCCAGTCCAGATGATACTGCTGTACACAAGCGGCCCATGTCGTACACACCGGCTTCCGCTCCTGAAAACGTGAGCACCAGTCAAGGCGGCTTGGGCCCTGAGAACACATCCACGCCTTCTGGGATGGTACATCTGGATGGTCCACCTGATTATATCACCAGCATGCTAACACCCGTCATCAAGGATCCATGGGAAACCTTCGATGACCACTTGCTGGAGCACATCCCTGGTCACGTCCCAACTGAAAACCCTGAAAATCGGAGCGTGATGGAAAGAGGTGGAGATCACAGCCTTGATCAACAGGAGCGGGCTGGAGAGGGTGCTTGTGCAGAAGACCCCTGTCACGGTTCAGGCCGTGGGCCCATGATCGCAGCCATTATCGTTGGCATCGTAGCAGCGGTGATGGGTGTGGTCTTGGGGGTGTGGTGTTATAAAAAGAGGCAACAAAAGAGCTCTCACTACCAGCTCAATGGAACTAACAGGCAAACGCAGTGCATTGAATTACAACAGACTGTGTGAAAGTCACACAGATCCTCATAAAGCCACACAGCTTACTCAGTCATCCATACAAAGCCATTTATGTGTGAACATTACAGTCTACGTCCACTATCTATCTATCTATCTATCTACTGTATATATCTATCTATCTATCTATCTATCGTTCTATCATCTATCTATCTATCTATCTATCTATCTATATCTATCTATCTATCTATCTATCGTTCTATCATCTATCTATCTATCTATCTATCTATCTATATCGTTCTATCTATCTATCTATCGTTCTATCATCTATCTATCTATCTATCTATCTATCTATATATATCGTTCTATCGTTCTATCATCTATCTATCTATCTATCTATCTATCTATCTATCGTTCTATCGTTCTATCGTTCTATCTATCGTTCTATCGTATATCTTTCTAGGATAACAAAGCTTTCTGTAACCAACATGCAAAGTTGACAAACTTTGCTTTTCTAATTTTGTAGTAAAATTACAGTTAAATTAATTTCTTTAATTTTTTAATTCACTTAAATTTCCTTCAAATTCAAGAACTGCATTGGACAATAATCTTAATTTAATTCTGAATGCCACACAACCCTGACTTTCACACTAACACAAGGAGTGTCTCTGTTTAACACTCCTTTATCGCACAAGGTTGGATTGTTTAGTGCTTGTTTAGATAGTATTTCTATTTTACAATGTTTTCTTTTTCTTTATATTTTCATTGTATTGTGGATAATTGATGGATCATGAATCTGATGTCTTCTCTTGCTTTGGACGGACTGCGGGTCGGTGCATGTGTGTACGTGGTGCCCGTCTGTCCAGATTTGTACGTGTTTATAGCTTTGTCCATTAGTGAGTAAGCGTGTGTAAGAGAATCATTGTGACTTTAGCCTGTTTTGGTTTTGAAAGAGAGCATTCAGTTCAAAAGAGAGTGTGGTTGAACTGTGTGCACAATTGACAGTTTCTAGCTTGCAGACAGGTGAGACATTCTGGTCAGAGGAACTGAGGGTGAATTCTGATTGGCTTTCAGCTCTTATAGACCTAGAGCAGGCAGAATAAATAGCTTTCATCCCTAAATTTAGAATATAATGAGAATTTATTCATTTCAAACCTTTTTCTTATAAATAAGTGAGTTTCCTGGGGTTGAGCTCAGGACTCAGAAAGATTCACACTCACAGACAGGTGAGACATTCTTCTCAGAGGAACTAAGGGTAGATTCTGATTGGCTTTCAACGCATTTACAGCTTATTGAGTTTCAGTTTCTTTCAAATATATGTAGTGCTATAAAAGTTATATCATAGCAGACTATTTTCTACATATATTTTCCCAAATATCTCATTGATGTTCATTGCAAACTTTTTGGCCATGTCTTATACAAGATATTCAGTTCGTTCTTCACCTCCAGCGACGTTTATGAGGCATATTTATATCGTGTATTATAAATGTAAAAACTTGATTTTAGAACTAGTGAATTAAAACAAACACAAATCAGATATGTCTAGAATCACTTTTTAGTTCAATTGTCATACTGAGGTCAAACATATAGTATGCTATTTTTAGATAATATTAATAATAGGTAATTAAGTGTAGTAAAGCCATTTATTTCTAGGTGTTGTTAGAGCAAATGTAGCATTTTTATATTGTTTGATTGAATTATAAATGAAGAAAAGTGAAGTAAAACTTCATGAATGTTGCAGGGTCATCGACTCACAGTATTAACATTATCTAACTGTTTGGGTATTTTTGATTGTTGGCTGTTGTTGTTGTTGTCTTTTAATATGTTTTCCAGCCCTGACATCTCTATTTAGCTGAGAAGCTAGTCTTATTTTACATTAGCCATTTAGAGGATGCTTTTATCCAAAGATACTTACAAATGATGAAAATCACAAGCAATTTATCATGCAAGAGCCAAAACACTTGCATTTACTTACAAAATAATCTCATTTCTAGATCAAGAAATCAGTTCCAGTTGGCTGCTGTAGATATATTTAAAGCTACAGTGGATAAACACATGAACTGCTTACCATAAAATTGGTAATTTGCTATTTTGAGGTAAATGTGGCCATTGGAACTATTTTATTTGCTCTGATATCTTCTGAAAGTTATTTTCTGAACTGTAAAGTGTTTTTATTGTGATGTGGAACTGTGAGACTTCATAATCTTTGTTTTATTAATCTGTAATCATTTCAATTCCATTTGAAGCTAAAACTGCTTGATAATATCAACATTACACTGTAACAATGTCAGTTAGATGTGACATGAGGGTATCTGACTAAACATAGCTGTGAAAAACTAACGGAACCTTAACCAATAAATTACTTTAGGGGGAAAATGGCCGCTTTAGTCTTCCTTGGCGTCAACATTACTTAAATAGGCTTAAAAAAAAACATTTCCTTCCTAAAATAAGACTGCAAACATTTGCGTAGCGTTGCCAGGTGTCTCTGTGTGTATAAGAGCAGCAGAGCCAAACCTGGTATCACAAAAGAGGGACATGTTTTCTGTGTCTATGCTGTCGTTTTTACCACAAAACAAAGACGAAACACTCAGAAACACTCCTGCATACAAATACTCACACAGCGGGAGAACAGAGACTTGTTTAAATGTGTTTGAACATGGAGTATCTGTGCAGTTTATCACACCATAGTAGGAAAAACCCACAGAGAAAAGGAAAGAAGGGGTGGGGGATGAGGAACGAGAGATGTGGAGGGAGTCGGGATTAAAAAATGACCGTAAAGAGTTTAACACTCTTAAAATTCGAGTGTTTTGCTTAAGGTCCAGTGTTTAGTCTTTTGCTATTATATTTAGTCTGAATGTTTACTGCTTTTAAGGGCAGGCAATACTGGTTCAGCCTTTGAAATAGACAAGTTTGTTTGATTTCTTTTACGCAGCACCATTTTACACTAATTTTGAATAATAGCCAAGTGAACATTTGTGAAGTTATCAACAACAACATATTAGTGCCAACATTTGGTCCAAACAGATTGTGTGAAGCTTGGCATTACCAAAAAAATGGCAAAGCTCTGGATCTTAAAGTAAGCCAGTCCTTCTGAGATGCCAAATACACAAATTCTCCACCAGAAGGAGGATTGTACAGATAGTGTAACACTTGAGGTAACAAAAATGAATTGAAACAATACAGATATAGAAAATGACTGATGAATTAGCCAGTATTTCACAGCACAAAAGTGGTGAGTTTAAGCATTTTCATCCATATTATTTATTACGTCAGCATCCACATCTGTCAGAAAGTCAGAAAAGCCAAAAAGTACATTTTCAGTGTTTAACCAGTTCTTGGGGCTCAATTCTGCCTGGATATCTTCGCATGGTAACAACATTGCTTGGGTTGTATTCAATATAGAAAAGCATTCCTTATTAAAACAATCCAACCAACAAAATAAAAACACATCATTGTTTTCTCTGAGATACAGTAAATTGACAGGGACTAAGATTCAAAATTATAATCTTTTGGCTTGTGGTGCATAATCTGTACTTACATGTGCAAATATAAGTACACATTTTAGTACAGATGTAAAAAGATATCAACACTTCCAATCACCAACCCCGGCCTAAATAAATACAAGAACAAAAATGGTACAGTATGGAGAATACCTTTATGGTCATGGTCATTTTCACAATGTTTTCATTTCAGTGCAAATAAAATCATTTTCTTATTCATCCCCAGCATCAAGATATTCATCAAGAAACTCTAAGACTTCACCCTGAAAGACAAAAATGGTTGGAGGAAGAGTTAGAGAGAGAATAACAGTATATCGTTGATACTAAAATTACACTGCGCTGTAAATAAATAAGCATATAAACACTTTCATTTATGTGACGCAGTAAACGGCTCAGAGTAAATCAGTAAGCATAGTGCGCACCCAAGTGGCCAAAACTCACACAGCAAGCATTCAGCACTACACCGAATATTTGAAAAACACCTTCATGTTTGTGAATATTCAGCAAGCATCCAAATAACCCATGCACAAACACTCTCATCTCTCACCTCATCATCTGACAGTAACTTCTGTTTGGCAAATTCTAGCATCTGCAGCTGTAGCGTTGTCTGATTGTGGTACCGTACTGCTTCCTGTCATGTGAGAATGCATTATAAGTACAACATCAACCATCTAAATGAAAATAAATGCATTTATTCATTATTTACCATGATGTGAGACACCTACCGCTCTAGGGAAGAAATCCTCATCAGTCAGGCCAAATTTTTCTCTGTGGTACCGATAATAATCCACATTATTCTTCATCACCTCATCACTGGGATCAAAGAGCATGTAGCTGGCCACACACGGTACAGCGTTCTTCAGATCATTCACTGAGTGAGAATGAAGGAGAGAAACTTTTGAATGGAAGTGTATGTTTCATATGTCAGTTATTCACATTCATGGTTCACGTAAGTAGTTATGTAAACAGAGAACTTTCTAGACTTACATTTATAATAAGCAAACTGGAGGTAGTGGTACATGGTTGCCACAAATTTCTCAACAACAAATCCACCTACAACCGGCGTTAGCTCGCTTTCACAGCGAACCTTTCTCTCCAGAACCTCTGTGTAATGATCTAAAGACAAAAACAGATATGTTATGTTTCAGCTAAAGTTACAAAGGATCTCAGAGGCAGACATGACAAGAGCAGCAGGTATATGCCAACCTGCAATGGACGGGTAAAAGTCTTTGAAGTCTTTGATCTGTCTGGATCCCTCTGACGCTGCGATGCACTCATCATACACTTTGAAAAAGTCTCTCAGTGCCAGCTCCATATCTGACACTGACGTTCTGAAGTTATCACCATTGTATGCCCGCACAGCCCGAATGAACAACGTCTGAATAAAAAGAACCGGCATTAACCATATGTAACTGTAAACTACAACACTGTTTATTACATTCAACAGACGTATTGCAGTTGTATACATTTACCTGAGCTTGGATTACACAAATGTAGACATATATTATTATAGATAAATATTATATATGCACTACTGCTTAAAACGTTTGGGGTCTTGAGAGTCTCTTGTGCTCATCAAGGCTGCATTCATTTAAATTACAGTAAATATAAGTAATATTGTGAAACTTTTTTAGAATTTAAATTGCCTGCTTGTAATTTTATAGATTTTAAAATGTTTATTCATTCCTGTGATGGCAAAGCTTTAGTATCACACCCTTCAGAAATCATTCTTATATGTTGATTTGGTGGTCAAGAAACATTTCTTATTATAATCAATGTTGAAAACAGTTGTGCTGCGTAATATTTTTTCTCAAGATTCTTTGACAAAGAGTAGTTCAAAAGAACAGTATTTATTTAAACTAGAAATATGTTAAAATTATAAATGTCTTTGATCAATTTAATACATACTTGCTGAACAAAAAAATTATTAATCATACTGCCCCCAAACTTTTGAACAGTGATGTTCTTATGTTATGTATTGAATTGAATTGAATTGAATTACTATCAGCATATCTGAAAGAAAATTTTAATTTGAAAACTAACATGAATTTCAGGATTTCTTAGTATTTAGTTTGACCCCCTTTTGCTTTAATGGCAGCAGCTCTCAAGCTGCATTAACAAGAAGATTAACATAAGGATTTGATTTCCTTTTATTCAGTGTTTTGTGTATGAGGTCTCACCTCATATGACTTGGTCTCCAGGTCTTTCATATGTTCATCAGCTCCAGGTAAACTCTTGTAATAGTTCATGTTCCTCTGCATCATCTCATCATCAGGATGCTTCAAGAGGAATGTGTACGCTGCAGATACAGCTTTGGCCACATTATCGCTCTGGAATAATTCATAATAATCCATTTTGTCAGACATTTCCAAACCAAAACTCTACACATAAATATATTAAAACAAATCATGTTACCAAAATGGTAAAGCCACTGATTTTTTTTTTTGCCATGTACCATAGTATGTTATTCTTTTGACATGGTATTTTGTTAATATCATGGATTTTTCCACATGTACTTGTACAATGCATAGCACATGATAGTATTCTTTGAAGTAGGCTACTTTGAAATACCATGTATTTTGATATATGGTACATGGTTAGTACCATGGTATTACCATCTAATACAATCTACACAACGAAAAAGAGCAAAAATTAACCATCGTACTACCATGTTTTTCAATGTGAACCATCTGCATGCAGTCCTATTATTCCCATGTTAAAGTATTGCAAAGCTCTCACTTACCCTTAAACTAGCTTTATAAATAATTGTTGATGTAATGAGAGAAAGTAGTAGACTCACTTTGAAGTAAGCATACTGCAGGTACTTGTAGGGTTCCCGTTTCTCAAACTCCTCGATGGTTTCACGGCTGGGGAGCGTCTGTCTGAAGGCAGGTAAGCCCTGCTTGCATCGCTTCAGACACTGAGCTCGCTTCATCACGTTACCGAAGGCGTGCAGCTCGGGGAAGTCTCTGAAGCGCGTCTCGTCGTCGAGGCGCACCGTGCTGCAGTTGAGGTTACAGAAGGCCTCGCTGTCCCTGAGCAGCCGGTACAGCCGGAGACTCATCTCAAGAAACTCCACGCTCTCGGGCCACTTCTCCTCACTGTACTGGTCTAAAGCGTGTCGGTACGCCGAGTCCAGGGGCATAAGCTCGTGCCGTGGGAAACTGCGAAAATTGTATTTCTCATACTGCGCAAGAACGCAAAAAGAAAAACAGAATAAAAGAAATGCAAGCCCGAGGCAGTGCGATGAGGAGGCCATGGTCCCGTATGGGAATCCCAAAGTACGCAGGGGTGTTAGAGTACAAGACCCGCCCGCTCCGCAGCCTCTCCACGTCCCCAAAGTAAGTCAGAACGCACCCTTCCCCCATGCAGCTAAAAACATTACCGATTTACTAAAATATATTTATTTATTCGTCAAATCCCACCGGTAGCATTTTGAAGGGCCTAAAATAGTATATTTTACACACTGGCCTAGTTAACTATGAAAGTTCACACTCTTGATTTGTAAACTTTTTCATGGCTGCTGTAAGTTAGCTAGATAACCAGAACAGTACAGTTGTGTCCAAACCCCGCAAGGAACCATACATGTCATTATATAGATACAATATCTGGTGTAGCCTATATATCATATAATTTAATCATTTGATAATTTATTATAACATTTTTTCACATCATATAGACTGCAAATTGTTGTTTTATTCATAGAAAACTAAAGTGAATGAATGCATTTAGGTGTAAGAAGAAGTTGTATCTGAAATTTGTATAATATATGCATTTATCAAAACGTACTAAACTATAATAAGGAGACATATGATCATCATTCTGATGTAATGAATATAACGTTTAAAAAGGCCCGTTGCACTGCTCGGTGGGCCCTCTATAATTACATGCTCTCGTAAACCCCCATCATAAAGCGCGAGCCGCCCCTCTCTGTGCCACGTAGAAAGCATTCCAGCCTCTAGGCCTGCATTTCCGCATTTTCCTTACAAAACGGAGCCCTTTCCTGCGCATTCTCCATGTAAAGAGACACCGGAGTCATAGGAAGAAGTTCGAGGGAGTTTGAGGATCCATCCACCACGTCTACACACTTCCCCTCTCAACTACAGTGAGCGAGAGGGTTTGAGGAGACTGCTGCAGCGCCCGAAAGCACTTTGCAAAACACAAACGGAAGATGATACGGTTAACGGTTCAGATGATTCTCCTGGCTTTCCTAGTGACTTTCGTGGCGTGCAACCCGCCGCCGTTACCGTTAGATGACATCGTGATTGAGAAAACGTTCACTCCGGATCGCTGCGACCGGATGGTCAAGTCTGGAGACTTTGTTCGCTATCATTACATCGGCATGTTCCCTGATGGAAAGAAGTTTGACTCTAGGTTAGTGCAAAATGCATGTTTGACCTCCATTGTTCATCTTCTCATCTGGCCTAAAGCCATTTGCGTTTGCAGAGTTTACAGCCACGCAGGCAGAGCAGATGGGACTTGCTCAATTACTATGAATTATGAACATTTACTTATGCAAAAGCACGTCATATACATTTACAGCTGATTTAAAACAGGCTAACATTTAGTAAATTTGAATATGGTAATTTTCATAATGCTTAATGAAAGGGCATATTTTTTCAGCTTTTTAAAAGAAATTTCAAATTTCGAAATTGATCACTGGAGTATATTGTACAAGAAAATACTGTTTTAGTCTTTCTTCTTCAAAATTTCATGTTTAATTCAGTTACATGGTGTTTCTTTGTAATTCATTGTGAAATTTACTAGCAGTTTGTGAGTGAAAAATATTCTACCAACAAATATTTTTTCAGTGTAGATTTAATTTATTTAATTTTTCAAGTAAAATTGAAACATAATTATTGCATTATTTTTTTGCAAATGTATTATTGCACAAAATTATTATTGCACTAACCTAATTTTAATTTTAATTAATTTCTTATTAAGAAAGAAATCTTTTTTTAAAGACACATTTACATGAGAAGCAAATTGTATGAGATAATAACTAAGGCTTTTCAGACAATATATTTTAAATAAAGTTTATTGTTCTTAACCCACTGGCAAATATTTAAATTAAAAATACTGTTTAAGCTCACTAGATTTTGATAGATAAATGTTTAGTGCAAGAAAATTATTCAATTATTTGCCAATATATATATATATATATGTGTGTGTGTGTGTATGTGTGTAAATGTGTGTATCAGATTTTAAAGACATTTTTACTGATGTTTGTTGATGTGTGTGTTTGCAGTTATGACCGTAGCACCACCTATAATGTGTTTGTTGGCCGGAAGCAGTTGATTGCTGGGATGGACAAAGCTTTAGTGGGCATGTGTGTTAATGAAAGATGGATGATCAAAATCCCTCCACAGCTTGCTTACGGAAAGGATGGTTATGGTAAATGCACTTTTTAAAAACACAGCTCTCTTTTTACCACTTCATGCGTGAATGTCTGTCAGTGTAGGTGCCATCAGCACATTTACATTTAAATAGCCACATATCACTAGGTAACATGCTAATGCATGAAACTCACTGAGACCTACAATACCCATGATTCTCCTGGACTCCTGCTGAGTCAGAGGAGCATGGCATCTCCAGGTGGAGAGAGAGAGAGAGAGAGAGGGGGGAAGTTGAACAGACTGGGGTGTGAACTCCCAAAGGGAGTGATCCTAAGAAGAATGTTGAGCCATGTCCACTTGTCAGAACTAGTTGTGAAAATAGTGTGTGTCTGCCCAATTCAGCTGCAGGAGACACAGACAGATGTGTATAATTTAACTGTACATATATACAACAGACTTAAATTATAAGTAATCTCAGATGCATTCATCTCATGATCAGCTCTTTCAGTAAAATACACAATACACAGCGTGGCACACTTCCCCTTGTTTTATTGTAGTGAGCAAACAACAACTAATAATGCAGCCTTTATAGTAAACACAAAGTCTAAAGCATTTATTGTCCTTCTTTAGAGTAGCTGGTTTTAATCATGCTTTAGTGGGCAGATTTCAAAGCTGCCAAGCTGGTTTGGTTTTTATTTCTCACAGTATTTTTATGTCATTCCTTGTCAGGTGACAACATCCCCCCAGATTCCATCCTTCACTTTGATGTGTTAATGTTGGACATTTGGAACACAGAGGACAAGGTGCAGATAAAGACCTACCATAAGCCAGAGAGCTGTGGCCGCACTGTACAAGTGTCTGATTATATCCGTTACCACTACAATGGTACTCTGCTCGATGGCACGCTGTTCGACTCCAGGTGAGAGGAGTCATGTGGACCTCAAAAAAAGAGGGGATAAAAATAAAAAAGATAGATAGATATGTTTAGTAACTCAATTTTTATATTGAATAACTTTTATTACAAATATTATATTGAATAAACACTTATTACACATTATTGCCAGTTCGGTTTTTGCTTAGCCAACAATAGTTCCACAGCCACAGTGTTACAACAGCGAGGGAATGTTTTGAATGTTTATGAACAGATCAGTTAGCCCAATGATCAATGACTCATTCATTTCAAGTCCTTTGAATGAAGGCATCAAATGACTCCTATAGACAGTCACATGTCGCCACCTACTGGCGTAATCATGTAACATCCAGAAAGAGCCACAAAAAATCCCTATCACTAATGACAGGTTTATTTGTTTATTTAAATAAAAAAAAACTATAAAATTAAATAGGATTAAAATAAAATAATAAAATAATATCATTAAAAATGGATTGCAATAAATAAATATTAAAAATAGATAAATAAATAAATAATCTAACAGGACTATAATGAGTATAAAAATAACAATGTAAGTGAATAGAAACAAAACCTTTTCCAAAAAATATTTAACACATATTTATCTTTTTTATTCATAGTATAAATTAGGTCTTTATACACTCTTGGACCTCTTGACCAATCAGGTTCGAGGACCAGAACTAACAGCACAATAATGTGTGCATGCAATGTATGGTGTATATGTGAAATATTTAAAAAATGTAAAATATTTTTTAAGAATTAATCAAAAAATTATTCATAATTAATTTATAAACATAGAATTAAACATGAACATATTTCATTTTTGGACATAAATAGGTTAAAACATCTTAATCTTAATTCTTATGATTTAAAAAAAATATATTTATTATTAATTAAGGAAAATATTTATATCATTGAAACAAATGTGTGGATGTCTGAATTTTATGTTTTTCCCAATTAGTAATTCTGATGCTTTCATTTGCAGTCACACACGTATGCGCACTTATGACACTTACGTGGGGATTGGCTGGCTCATTGCGGGAATGGACCAGGGGCTTTTGGGAATGTGTGTGGGAGAAAAACGCATCATCACCTTGCCACCTTTCCTTGGCTATGGAGAGAATGGAGATGGTGAGAGTCATTTTATTAGAAATATATACTAACAATATTTGTGCCTGCAAAATAAGCATTACAACATCCAGTTATCTCCACTTACAGGAAGTGACATCCCCGCTCAGGCCTCTCTGGTGTTTGATGTGGTTCTGCTGGACCTTCATAACCCCAAAGATGAAATCACGGTAGAGGCTCAAAGCCTTCCAGATCACTGTCCACGCAAGAGTGTAGTAGGAGACTTCATGCGTTACCATTATAACGGATCCCTGCTGGACGGCACATTCTTTGACTCCAGGTAAAAACCCTTGATTTGAACAGAAACTGTTTTTAAAGTGATATACAGTGCACTTATGCTTTTGTTTATGTTTCAGTTACTCGAGGAATCGCACATATGACACTTACATCGGTAAAGGCTATGTGATCGCAGGCATGGACCAAGGACTCCTGGGTGTGTGTGTTGGAGAGCGCAGGAGGATTGTTATCCCACCTCACCTGGCATATGGAGAAGAGGGCACAGGTGTGTGCTGATCAGTCCTTTTATAGTCAAAAGAACATGAGGTTAACCTTTATCTCTGTACTAATCCCTTCTATCTCCTCATACAGGAACTAAGATCCCTGGCTCAGCTGTGCTGGTGTTTGATGTCCACATTATTGATTTCCACAACCCATCTGATACAGTTGAGATCACCAGTGTGAAGCCAGAGAACTGCAGCAACAATACAAAACGTGGTGACTTTGTCAAATACCACTACAACGCCACTCTCATGGACGGCACTTACATTGGCTCCACGTGCGTTGCAATTATACGTTTATGTATCGTGTTGTTTTGGCATGCGTCTAATTTAACATTACAAGTATTTGATAATGAACAAACGGTTTATATTTAAGAAATTTTATGTAATTTATGTTTTCCCTTGCGTCTGTTTGTAACTGCAGGCACACCTTTGGTAAGACATATGATGTGGTTCTGGGGGCTGGACAGGTGGTCATAGGCATGGAACAAGGCCTTATAGGAATGTGTGTCGGAGAGAAGCGCAAGCTAGTCATTCCACCTCACCTTGCCTATGGAGAGAGGGGAGTAGGTAAGACATCCTCTTACAGACACAAAAACAAATGCTATATATATATACAGTAGGGGTGTAACTAGGGCTGCACAATTAATCTAATTTCTAATCGCAATTACAATTATGGATGCCACAATTACGTAATCGTTCAAAGCGGCAATTAATAGTTCAAAGCCCACTTATGTTATTCTGCACGCTTAAGATATGTTTTTTTCTTTCTACATGTTATCTTAAGGGTTTTCCATTGTTTTAGTTTTAGTTTTAGTATAACATTATAATACCATTTATATTTTTACTTTTTTTATAATTTAAAGAAGAAACCAGTCCGATGTATATTTGACATTTGAGGCTTAATACTATAGAAAAGCACTAAAGGTTTTTCAGTTAGAGTGTTTTCAGCTTGTTTATTTTCATATAAAAATACGGCATGCAGTTACATCAAACAATGGTATAAACATCATTCAATGTAAATTGTGATAATTGTAATTAATAATCGCAAATACAATTTCAAGGAAATAATCGACAATTATGATTTTTGTCATAATCGTGCAGCCTTAGGTGTAACGATACACGTATTCGTATTGAACCGTTCGGTACGAGGCTTTCGGTTCGGTATGCATTACAAACCGAACGATTCGTTGGACTAATCCTATTACAGCATATTATCCTATTAGGTTAGACTAGTGAGAGTGCGCATAGAAAGTGCGTTCTTTCACTGCATGCTTCAGTCTATTAAAATGCATTTAGAATGATCACAAAATTCAAGATATGGGAGCAGAAAATGTATATATTTACATAATTTTATATAGTTAATCAATATCACAGAAGAGTGCCGTTTTTTCTCTCCAAAAATCAGCATGATTACAAATGGTTTTTACAACAGTTCAATAAGCAAGAATTTAATTAATAGACTTACGTTTTAGATAGCTTATTGCCTGTTTTTGCTCAACTTCGCCAACAAAAATAATTCCAAACACAGCCACAGCACTGTTTTGCGTCTCTGAGCACCATGACAGTGTTTCGTTCCTGAATGAATCACCCGTTTAAATGATTCGGTTCAATCGCAATGACTCACTTATTAACAGTGACTTGCTGCCACCTACTGGCGGTTTTAATTTCACATTTAAAGTATCTTTTAATTTTTTCATTAATTTCAAACATCAGTTGCCAACGTTTTATGTTTAAAATATCAAAACATTATTTATGCATTTGCATTAAACAGTGTGTAAATGCATCTAAATGCCATTCAGATGCAACTTCTATGTTTCCTCTGTATTGCAAAGATGAATTTTGTCAATACTGACTCCATTTGCTTGGTAACAGCCCAAATGTCTTATTGACTGATTAAATGTAAAAAAAATTGACTCAAAAGGTGATGCACACTTTTAGAAAAAAAAATGGCTTTATAAAGATAAAGAATGCCCATAAAAGATAAAAATCAATTTAAACTTATGGGAAAAGATTAATCTGCTACATGACAATAGGCTATATCAGCTGGAATACTTCAAACCGGAGCTGTTTTTGTTTTAAATGCAGCTAAGAAGACACCCCAGAAGATGGGATTGTTCAAAGTAAAAAATTAGTTTTAATAAATAAAAAATGTGTAAAAATCAAGGAAATTTCTCTGGCATTTCTTTCTTTTTGCTGTATCGAAAACGTACCGAACCGTGACACCACTGTATCGTAACGAACCGAACCGTGAATTTTGTGAACCGTTACACCCCTAATATACAGTGTATATATATATATATATATTAGTGCTGTTAAACGATTAATCGCGATTAATCGCATCCAAAATAAACGTTTTTGTTTACATAGTATATGTGTTTGTACTGTGTATATTTATTATGAATATATATAAATACACACCCATGCATGTATATATTTAAGAAAAATATGTTACGTTTATATATTAAATATATTTATATGTAATATAAATTATATGAATATAAATATATACATGTAAAAACGTAAATATTTACAAAATATATACTGTATGTTTGTGTATTTATATATACATAATAAATATACATAGTACACACATATTATGTAAACAAACTTTTATTTATATTTATATTAATATTAAAGAATTATATAATAATCAATACATACAAATAATATTATGAATTCTACACATATTAATAAATAGTGTGTATATATTTCCTATGTAAATATTTCATGTTAATATATATTGCAACTCTGTAGCAAATGTGTTTCACAAATGTTAAGTACAGTTGCTTTATTTTGAGATGGAATTTACTAAAATTGAAAGTGGGTTTTACTAAGACTCATCCTGATTCAAACCGGTTAACTACTAGTGATTTTGTGAGGTGATTTGTTTTTTAATGCTTCATAAAAAGAGCTGTCTCCATAAGAGTTATTGGGTAACACTTTACAATAATGTTCCATTTGTTAACATTAGTTAACTAGAATAATTAACATGAACTAACAATGATTTTTATTTATTTATTAATATTTATGTACCTTAGTTAATGTTAGTTTCAACATTTAATAATACATTATTAAAATCAAAATACGTATCTGTTAATATTATTTAATGGACCTGAGCCAACATGAACTAACAATGAACAGTTGCATTTTTATTAAAGATTAATAAATACTTTAACAAATGAATTGCTCATTGTAAGTTAATGTTAGTTAAAACATTTAAAAGAAATGTGACCTTATTCTAAATTTTATGATATAATTTCTGGTTGTGCTGAATTCATTCACTAAAAGAACCGGCTCATAGGACTCATTTGCTCGTGAGTCAAACTGGTCAGGACTCACGCTGTATGTTTGTGCAGGAAACACTGTTTATCCTCAGATGTATATATATATCAGATGCCTTTTATTTGTTAAATAAAAATTTTATGTTACATGTGTGTAATGTAAAATGAAGTGTTAAAATGTTATGTTAATGTTAAACGTGATGACAATGCTTAGCTGTACTGCTGGCTTCCTGATTTTTTTTTTATTGCAATTTGTGGTGGACCCTCCAGAGGGAGCCAAAGTAAATTCTTCTAACAACCTACTCCGCTAAACTAACAATTTAGTTGCTGATGTATTGATATTCAGTGAGGTATTTGCTGAATTCGAAACTGCATATTTGAATACTACTCTTACTATTTTTTTGCCATGTCTTTCTGTGGCAGTAACAGTAAGAATAGTATGCTTGTATATTTAGTTCAAACCTCCATATTTCCCACAAAAATAGATTATTAAGCACTATTTCTTGCTCAGATGGGGAGGTCCCTGGAAGTGCTGTGCTGGTGTTTGATGTTGAGTTGGTGGACCTTGAGGAAGGTCTTCCTGAAGGCTACATGTTTGTGTGGAACAGCGATGTCACACCCAACCTATTCAGTGAGATGGACAAAAACAAAGACGCACAAGTGGACGCTACTGAGGTATATTGTTTTATATTGTAAGTGCATGCTTAGCATTACATCTCTAAAATGTTTATTAAGCTAATTTTTCCATTGTCTGTCCCTTCCATACAGTTTTCAGATTACATCCTCCAGCAGGTAAAAGAGGGCAAAGGTCGTCTGGCGCCAGGTTTTGACCCGCAGCGCATCATAGAGAATATGTACGATAACCAGGACCGCAACAAGGATGGGCGAATCACAGAGGATGAGTTTAAACTCAAGGCAGATGAAGCAGCCGCTCATGATGAGTTGTGAGGCTGGACTCAGGGATGGAGGGTTGGGATCGGTCATCTTGTGGTCGAATATTATAAATGGGAAGGGTATAAAGATACTGAATTTGCCAGTGAAGTGCCTCTCAGTAATGTTGTTGACTTTAGATGTTTGTCTGAGAGGTGTGTGCATGTGTGAATGTGCATAATTGTGTTTATATATGATTTTTTTTTGTACAGGTCTCTGAATGTTTGTAAGAGTCTGGAGTGATACAAATGTGCAAAACATTACTTTGTAAAAAAATCCCTTAAATAAACACATTACAACCCCCAAAGTGTTATTTCAGTATTTCTCTAAATCGCTATTTTATTAGAACTTTAAAAATATTGCTTTACATAAGTCATGCTCAGTGTTGGGTAAAACCTTGTAGTTTCCTCTTAAAGTGAACAGCTGCAAAACAACCACAATTTAAGGTTTTAGCTTGTGGACTGACAAGCTGAAATGCAATATGCTTAAAAGGAAGTTTGTTATCTGAGCATAATATTGATTAACTTTTGAACTTTGATTGTTTTCTTCATGATTGAGCATGTCCATTCTGATATGTTCCTGATAATGTTCCTTCAGTCTTAGCAAATAAGAATAGCACTAAAGCAGTCACTATATGGCTCAATGAACAATGCTTAGGCATAACATGAGCGTCTAAGTGTCTGTGTCTGCCTGGTGTTTTTATAATCCTTTGAACGTGTGTCGGTGTGTGTTTAGTAGGTGTGGGCTGATAGAGACTCCAAACCGGAACTGACTGTAACAGACTAACAGACATGAGTAATATGCATACACAAATGTAACTTTTCTGTCCCCTAGACAAAATAAATAAAATAAAATAAAAATTGTGTACAAAATATGCATATGAATAAGAATTGCTGTCATTACCAATATTGTCAAGCATTTAAAAATATTAACCTAAGCTTTATAAAAAAAAATTTAATTCAGAAACAATCTGTTTCTTTTCATTTTTTAATAAGTACAAAGTTAATTGAGTGCTAGTTAAATTGGTGTGTTAAATTCAAGGCTTATTTTTCCAAAAAGAGAGAAATATGTGAACATTACATCACATAGGCTACATACATACAATCCACGCCGTCACACATTACACCAAAAACGTTGATTTTAAAAAAGTAGTCCAATGTGCCCCAAATTACATGAAAAGCGATACATCTTTATGCTCAAATACCACACAAAAGTAACTACAGCCAGGCTTTTTTTTTTACTGACTAGCTAGCACAATACCCTAATGACAAGAGAGAGAGAGGTGAGGGAGAGAGACATACATAACATGCTGTGTGAACGTGAAGTGATTAGTAAAATAAGTGCATACTCGGTGAAGTGTGAGAATCCGGTTCGTATTTTGCTCTGTGCCTGAGGGCGGGTGTGAGAGTGCCAGTCCTGCCAAATCAGACACAAGCGAGTGCGTGTTTAGAAACAACCGACAACTAAACTGGACAGAAAAACTACGAGAATGGCCGAGCCAGAAGACATTAGATGAGGAAAAGGTATTACATTTTGTTGTTTAAGTCAACATCAATTGCTTCTTCTCTTTCTTTTTCACGAATGAATTTGGTTCAAGTGAATTTGGTTGACAGGTGCGTCCTCGAGTGTTGGACATTTAACTAACCTGGAGTCTTTACCAGCTTGATATAAAGTGCATTATAATAAGTTTATGTTTACGTTATATGTGGAAGTAGATATAACACTTGGCCTTAGTGAAGTGGTAATTTGTTTACTTGTGTCTTGTTTGTCACTCTTTGTTGTGCGCGTGCGCGATTCAAGCATCGTTTCACATAGCTGAATTAAAACTTTCCTGATATTCGTTAACATTTATATTGGAAATGACAAAGTGGTTTGGAAAACAAATCTATTTGGTTTACTATTTTCTTTATTTATTATCGTTACGGTAGGATTTAGAGAGTTATAGTAGGAGAAAGTTGATGTGTGGTAATATTAAAGATGATATTTTGGGCTAAACTAAAATTCACGTTTTTAAATAGAGTAAAACAAATCTAAAAAAAAAATAATAATTGGAAATTTAATAATCTCTAACGATTTTGTTGACGATATTAATGTAACAGTACTTTTATTTACTAATTTATTTATTATTTACTTTCACGAAAACATTAAAACGAAATATCAAAGAGTATCATTGAGCTGTTCACACGCCTATGTTGTTTCCCCTAGTTTTAGGGAAATTTATTATCTCTATATTTCATCTGGAGAACATTAATAAAAATGTAATGCAGGTTGGAGCATTAAGGAATTTTATAATTTCTTGCAATTAAAAGAATACATCTGATACTACAATAACAACTTTAAATCTTTTATTGTTAGTTGTTTATTTTTTATTCTCTCATTAGTGCATTCATGATTACCAAAACTAGTTCAGTTCCCACATTTCCATCTGCAACTCTTGGGTGTGGTTTCTCAAAAATCTCATCTAAATCATCTTAATAACCAGGTGTGATCAGTGTGAGGTGTGCCTGTAATGGAAGGGGAACCTTTCCTAGATCTGTGTCACCTGACTGAGGTGGAGCAGACTGTAATTCTCAGCGTTCTGCAGAGAGATGCTGAACTACGCAACAAAGAGGAAGGGAGAATACGGTCAGTGTGTATACAATACTGAACATATTTGGCAAATATAAGTTATATGAGCAATGCAGGATGAAATGCTTGTTTTCAGGAAACTGCAGCAGACGGTGTCAGATCCTGTCCGTCTGCGCTCTCTCTCGGGCGCGTGGTTTCATGAAGTGCGTGCTAAGAGATATCAGAAGGGAGGAGCTGATGTTGTTCATGCCTCTATACGCCATAAGAGGCGTGAAAAAGGTCACATGATCTCTTAGTCAATTCTGTAGTGTAGTGTTTATGTATTTGTGTGTTGTCTCACCCAACACTTTGTTTTTTGTTTTATTCCTGTAGATATACCTCTGACGGCAATATTTGCTGAAGAAAAAGGTAACTCTTCTCAACTACATGAGCAGCAAGAGGAAGACAAAAGTACAGAGAGAGAATTGCAGGAAAATATAAGTGTAAGAGAGGATGACAACGGCAAGGAAGAGAAGGAAAGAGAAAAAGAAGATGGGGAAAGGTTGGTGCAAATTTTGGTGTCATCTCTGTACTTAGGACTGAATACGCTGAATGGATCTAAACCGTCTGTATATTAGTATGAGTATACAAATCCATACATGCAGGGTGCATGGTCATATTTCAATATTGAATGAGAAACAGGCAATTATGTGTGATTAAAATGCTGTTTAAACATCTAATACAGTTGAAAACTCTTTTGGGTCTCATTTACTAGCTTTGTACGCAAGTACAATATGTGGATAAAGCGTGTGTATGAACATGTTAGCATGCAATCATGATTTGTTAATTATATGTCTGAAATCATTAATTTTGAATGATTTTTTTTCCCAGTGCAAATATCACTTGCAATCATTTATTAGTTTAAATATGTTCCACTGTCTTGTTTTGTGATACTATCTTTTTAGTTGCATTCCTGTGGTTACCCCTGAACAACAATCCAGGACTAAACACATCACAAAGGTCAATTTACATTTTAGATTACATTATATGCTTGTGAAATATGTGCTACTGCATGTGAGATATTTCTAATGTTCTTGCTTTGAACAGAAAAATGCAGCAAAAGAAAATTGTCTTAAAGGTAAAATAAACTATACTGGTAGGCAAATCATATGATAAACGACGAAAGACAAAATATAAATGCATCTAAACTCCACTCTGCTTACTTCACTTTTCCTTCATGCCCCAGAAAGTGTTGGAGAGTCTGAGGACAAAGAGGGGAGAATTTTGCCGAGTACATCACCATCTCTGCAGGTCTGTTTGGCAAAGCCAGTTGTTCAGATACACACATCCCTAAAAAAAACTTTTGTATTATGTGTGTGTGTTTCGGTAGATCGACTCAGAGGGGGACAGGGACTCTGGCAGCACTGAACTAGACTATACTAGGTTTGGGTCAGTTAGCAGCTTGACCTCCCATCATATGGTAAGATGCACTCTCAAGCACAACACTTGACCTTCTGCACCAGTGAAGTTTTGAAGGTGTAAACGGTCCAGTTTCTGTGTGGGTAGATGAATGGCAGTTTGATGAGCCTGTACAGTGTGGGCGATTTCGGGGATGTTGTAGTATCAGGGCAGATCCAGTTCTCGTTGCAGTATGACATCAAGAAAGAGGAGCTTCATGTGCACATAATACGCTGCCAAGATCTTGCGCCGGCCCGTAAAAATCGATCGGACCCGTAAGTATACTTGACTGTGGTCATTTTCAGTCAGTCATAACTATCAACTATTTATGAAAGTAGTCAAGCTACATTTAATATTATCAAACAACAGTGACAACAACAATGGTGCTTAATATTTCTGTGAAAACCATTTTACATGTTTTCAGGATTATTTTGATGAATAGAAAGTTTAAAAGAACAGCATTTATTTGAAATAGAAATCTTTTGAAACATTGCAAATATTTTTGCTATCATGTCTTTATCCTTCTCTTAAACACAGATACGTTAAAGTTTACCTTCTCCCTGACAACACATCCCGCAGTAAGAAAAAAACTGCAGTGAAGAGGAAAACATTAAATCCAGTCTATGATGAAACCATGAAAGTCAGTTTTAATCATTTATTATTTCACAAATTATTCCTATGCGTTTAAAATACATGATCAAACTTACAGTAATTATTTCTCCACTCAACTATGAAATGTTGCCTATACCAGTACAGAGTGCGGAGACTGGACCTCCAGGCTCGTGTGCTGAGTATGTCAGTCTGGCACATGGAGAGAATGAGGAGAAACCTCTTCCTGGGGGAGGTGGAAGTGAGGCTGGCTCAGTGGGACTGGAGCCAGAGCCAACCAACCTGGCACAACCTCCAGCCAAGAGTAAGGCCATTTCAAAGATGATCTGATATCTTTAATGAATTAAACATTTGTTAGTCAGATTCTCATCATGAGAGTCTTTCTCTTAATGTAGGTTAAGTTAAGTCCAGATGACATCATCAGCAGAGGAACCATTCTGTTCTCAATTAAGTTTGTACCTCCAGGTTCAGAGGGTGAGTCTGAACAGACATTTCATATTTACAATCTCTATATCCGCATTTATATGCAGGGCCATTGATAAAATACGTGTGGCTCATTATTAATTTATTATGTACGGGCCCACTCCTCCCTCAATAAAAGGCTATATTGCAGAGCAAATAGTAGTAAAGCAAATTTTTTATCAGGTATCCCCTTTCATAAAAAATATTTACTTGAAGCACCCCCTGAGTTATGTTGATATTTTAATAATTTAACAACGCATTCCCAAATTCACAGTAATGCAGGTTAAAAAATGAAATATTTAATCTTTTTATTAAGTGTTTTTTTTTTTTTTTCATATTTTGCGATTTGATCTCATAAGAAAGCATTGTAAATTCTGTTGCTGAAAACAGGCAGAGAGAATGTTTTATATTATCATTCTTTGTTGTTTTTATATATCATCATCATCATTATTATTATTGTTGTTGTTGTTAACTCTAAATATAAAAAATGAAGACCAAATATATTACTGCTTAATAACACAGTTAAATAAAATATAAATGGCATTTTTATTTAAATTATTTTTAATAAAAGGAACAAAAATTTATATTTGAAAATCATAAAAAAATACATTTTAATTGCAATGCAAGATACAAACTACCAGTTGCAATACTAATGTTCATTTAATTATTCATTTTCAAATGTGAAACCCTCAAGCTTTCATTTTAGTAGAAAATAAAGTCTTTGTTGTTTAGTTGACAACACATTTGTAAACGCTTCTGGTTACAAATCTGATAAAAATGCACAAAAATTTTGATATGTATCAGACTAACTTTCAGTCTTTAGTGATTTCACTAAGCCATACTGTGATTTCAAATTTATTTTGATTTATTGTACAGCTCTGTTTATTTTAGGAAGTGGTTGTCCACCGACTGGTGAGCTCCATATTTGGTTGAGGGAGATTGTTGGTCTACTTCCCACTAAACGTGGCGCACCTAGTACATATGTGAAAAGGTGTGGACACATTCATAGTAGTTTGTCTGCTTTTGTTTGTTTTTTGTTATTTCCCAAGCACATCAGTATGGTTTGTGTTTGTACAGTGTGGTATTACCAGATGAGAGTGGCGTCAGTGGCCAGCAGACTCGGGTGGTGCGAGGATCTGTCAACCCAGTGTTCAACCACACCATGGTTTATGACGGGTTTCAGTCTAGCGACCTTATTCAGGCCTGTGCAGAGATAACGGTCTGGAATCCACATCCCTCCAGCTGTCTGGGTGGAGTACGACTCAGCACAGGCTCAGGTAACACAGATTTGAACATAATATACTTATAATATATACATAGCTGAGAGTTAAGACTGTGTTCATATGTTGCAGGTGTGAGTTACGGTCAGGCTGTCTGCTGGATGGACTCAACAGAAGATGAGATAAGTGTGTGGTCAAGTGTGATTCAGAGCCCCAACAGCTGGGTGGACACCAGTCTACCAATCAGAACCAATTTACAGCTCTGTTCTGATTGAGCTTTGTTTAACCTATTCACCCTGTGACTTTGGTTATGTAACATTCTGGAATACACTACACAACTTTTCCCCCAATCTTTGACCAAGTTTGTAGTCTGGATGGGTTGAAGCTAGTTGGCAAAAATCAGAGCCAGTCTGCAACTTTTGGATGTTGGAGTTGACAGATTTCACAGAACATTGTGTAGTATGTAATGGGCACAAACTATGGTTTTTAGCTTCAGACTATGACTCCATCCAGTTTGAGGATATCAAATATGTTTTTATATTTTGAGCCAATTTTAGAACACGGTGTATGACTGTTTTTCAGTGGTGTATGACATGACCTATCTGACTTAACACCATTCACCTCCAACCACGGTAGCAATCTCTACAGGACAGAAATTAGATCACCCTCCTTTACATAACATGGAGCAAATTCTATAAGGGGAATGGAAACAAATTATACATTTTGCATAGTGGATTTGTTACAAAATAGTCCTCACACAATTTCTTTGAGTATGTTGCCAAATAATATGATACAGTTTGGTTTACTTTGTTGTCCGATTAAGTGTTTTTGCTAGAATTTGCTAGTGTCATGCAAATCTAGAGGGGAATGAGAATTCGTTGTCAAACTTGAACTGTCCTCTTAAGAGAATAATGGTATTTTCATCTTTCTGCTTGTGGTCTCATTGTGACACTGAAGGTCAAGCCACAAATGTAATGAAATACTAACTGCTGATTAAAACCACACATTTTGACTTTAATTAAATGCACATTGCATCAGTTTTACAAAAAAAAAAAAATCAAATCAGTATATATTATTGTACATATTTTTGTGTCAGACTGTTTGATAATCCGTTTTGAAACAAGTGTTTATTTTTACTTGCATTAGGATGAATTAAAAAATAGATTTATAAAATGATAAGAGACATTCTATGTAATTGTGATGTGTTAAATGTTATTGCATTCCATTTATTTAACTTGGCCTACATTTTTTCTGCCTGTGGCAGAATCAAACATTTCTGCACAGTTACTTTTCCGTCTCCCATTTTAGTTTCGTTTTCCCACTGGGTGTGCCTGTCAACTTCAAGCATAGCATTTATTTGACCAATGAAAATGAGGTAGCAGGAATGCTTAGGTAGCTAGCTTGAAGCCAGTGGGCTGTCGCTAAGAACAGAGGATCTAGTCTAGTCACATCAGACAGGGATGGGCAGTATTTCAGATCCATGTATTTAAAATACGTATTTGAAATACAAAATACTATTTTGTATTTTAAAGCCTTTGGAAAAAATCAAATGTATTTTGTATTTAAATACATTTAAGATTTGTATTTTTGTATATTCAAATGACATAAAACAAAATAAAAATACTTAGTGCCAGTCAACCTCTTGATCAAACCTTGAGGGTGTATTGGGAACAACAGGAGAAGGGGTTAAGGACACACAGAAAGCTGTTGTAGAATACCTAAAGGTTATAGGGATACATTATAGGATTTAGTTTAGTTTTTTTTATCACTATGTAAAGTAATGTGGTAACACTATTTTAAGGTGTTCTTATTACAGGTGTTACATGTAATTACTATTATAATAACAATTAATTATGCATAATTACATGCAAGTAACCCTAAGCCGAACCCTAATCATAACCCTAACCATACAGAAAGTATATGTAGTTAATTAATATTGCTCAGTACTTAAATGTATAAATACACTGTAACAAAGACACCTTAAAATAAAGTGTAACCAGTGATGTAATCAAATCATAGTCCATGGTACATACTCCGGTACAGAAGGTGGCGGTATGCGCCTGATAAATCATGGCTGTAATCCGCCATAAAACTAGAAGAAGAAGAAGAACCTCTTTATCAGGTGCGATCATCAGCTAGTTCAGACAAGCCCACTCCCCTCAACCCCAACATTCATGCACATGAGCTCCATTCCGCATTGGGTGAGCAACTTTTCTGGAATAAGGTGAGGATGTCATGGTCAATTGTACTTGTTGATTAATGTTAAAATATTGCATCATTGAGATTTGTCTTCAGTTAAAGGGCTAGTTCACCCAAAAATGAAAATTCCGTCATTAATTACTCACCCTCATGTCGTTCCAAACCCGTAAAACATTCGCTCATCTTCGGAACACAAATTAAGATATTTTTGATGGAATCTGAAAGCTCTCTGACCCTCCATAGACAGCAATGATATTACCACGATTAACGCACAGAAACGTAGCAAGGACATCGGTAAAATAGTCCATGTGACATCAGGGGTTCAACCGTAATTTTACGAAGCTACTAGAATACTTTTTGTGTGCAAAGAAAACAATAACATAATATAATTTATTCAGCAATTCTTCTCCCCGAGTTTTCGTCATCTGCCATTTTGGAGAGTACCCCAGAACGTAATCAGCATTGTTTACGTTCAGAATGCACGCGCTGTCTACTGAACTGATTACATGCTGATTACACTGATTACAGAAAGCAGTGGTGAGAGGAAGTAGTTTGCCGAGTAGTTCCCTCTGGAGCTTCACTCGACATCGCGGAGCTTCTCTGCTATGGGAACTCCTTCCTTCCAACTTTTCCTGAAGTCCTATTGGCTCACGCCAGTCCAATTGACTGGCCAATTGTCGCAAAGTATGCAAATCGTATGCAAATACTGACGAGCTCGAGAGACAGTATAAAATGCGGTGCACGCGACAATTACAACTACAACCTGAAGAATGGCTTTGTTCTGTAAGACTTGCACGGGACCCATCGAACCGCCAGATCAACACGACAACTGCGTCGCCTGCCTGGGCCTGGCCCACGCTGAGGCGGTGCTGGAGGAGTCCAACTGCGGGCATTGCTTCTGACTCGCCGCAACGTGGCTCGTGGCTTGTTTGGGGTGAGGCCCCCCCAGCCCCCTCCCCCTCCCGGAGGGGGGAGCGTCGACCTGCCGCGCCGCCAGTCACCCCATTCCCCAGTCACCTTCCCCGAAGACTGTTTCCACCCTCCTGTGAACATCGCGGACTTCATGTCGTTCGGCTGGGAGGAAGAAGACGAGGACTCAATGTCCATCTCAACCTCGGAGAAAGAGGATTGGGCGGGATCGGAGCGTGACTGCCCCGACAGCGAGGGGCCCTCATCAGTTCATCAGTTCTATTTACTACAAACTCAATTTGTGAATGTGTCATCGTTGACTATAATTACAGTACAGGCATTTCATAAATCATCTCTTATTCCTATTAAACATAAGGCTGATTTATACTTCTGCATCGGACCTACGGCGTAGCCTTTACTCCGTAAGCTATGCGTCAGTTTTCATTTATACTTCTTTGTCGTTGTCGGCGTGCAGTACACATGCAAACCGCTAGTCTGCAGTGTCCACGGGCATGTTGCTGGTGTAACCCGCAGTACCACGGTAAAAGCCGAAGAAGAAGCGGCTCGTCGGAGAAGCATTATAGCCGTGACGGCAGCAAATAAATATCAAATCATTAAATCATTATTTAAAACTACAAAAAGGAGACAACAACGGAACAGGAGAAGATGGCATACTTTCAATCTCCACAAGGACTTCTACCACGGCAGATCAATGTTTGTCGCGGACAACTACTGATGTATAATGCGATGTAGTATAATAAATGATAAGACACTTGTTCTTTGCTTTGTTTTATTTTATATAAGAAGGTGTAACATTAAAATATATTAAAGTGCACATAAACATACACAAAACTCAAGTACATACGGAGGGAGGGGTTCTAGCAGACCAATCACAGCACTTGCGGTCCGTGTAGAATTGACGCGCTGTAAGATTTTTGGAGAGGTGCATGTCAGGCTACAGTGTAGGGTGTGCGTCTATGCGTAGGCTACGGCGTAGGTTCGACGCAGAAGTATAAATTGGGCTATAGAGTCTTATTTATGGTCCAACATCCTGACAACAGAATCTTCAACTTAAAGTAAACAGATTAGATACATTAATCTTTTTAAAAAATAAAAAATATATATATATTTATATTATCACACTTTCTGATGTTTAACAAAATACTTGGATAACATGCTTTTCGTCCTCTTGAAAAATTACACGCATGCGCAGTATCATCTGCTCATCGGTTCTCAAATCGGACGTGTCCGAAAGAAACCCGTTGAGTGTACCAGTGATCCGAAAACCGATGCAACCGGTTCTTGACTCGAGAACGAGAACCACTCCAGCAGTGGGCATGTACGTTCGTTATACGGCTCCCTGCACACATGCTGCTCTGCTCGTGTTCATCTTCAGTTCTCTCTTCACAGCAGTTCAGTCAGTGTACTGTTTGAGTAAATTAATTACTCC